CCCATCAGCGACTAGATTTCTGTAAAGCTTCCACCGAGTAACGAATATGTTGTTAGCGGTCCTTCTTAAACTCGTCCCCTTTCCCCTAAGATCTGTCTGTCAACCCAAAGGCGTAGGTAGGGGGGGGGGGGGGGGGGGTGTTAGGTGGGTTATAAATTTGTAAAGTATGAAAACAATACTCTCAAACTAAAGACAAAAGTGTTGCTGTAACACAAAGCAGTAACCTTGAATGCTCCTGACCTGTCATTCACAAATGACATGCTGACTGTCAGGTGTGATGGCTTCTCCACCCACAGGAACAAAGCAGGGTTGAGCAACGTGTTAAACATTTCCAACTAACCCCCCCACCACCCCCACGGTAATGGGAGCAGACAGTTAACTTAAATTTGTTTTTCAAAATTTCCCATCATGCCCTGGGTCTTACAGTAACTGTGACACCTGGCTCTAAAAACTGCACCAAGCTAACATGGGCCCCAACTCAACTGACATCAGATGCAAAGTAAAGAGCAATGGTTTTACGGTTTGCCAGAAGCTGTTATCAGAAGCCGTTACCACGTCCCCCAGAGTTTAAAATGATGTTCAAATACCCCGAGGAACACTGCAGAAAACTATGAAAGTCAGGACTGTAAACTGTCACTCATATCAATGGCACTATTACACAAGCGATAGGACCTAGGGCTGCCACGGCAACCGCAATAATGAAGTATTGCGCTATTGAGAACTGCACGGGATTGCAAGCCACCACCACAACCACACGCGGCGTCCCATCAACACGCCATGTTCAGTATTTCATGACGAAAAAGCGTCCCGGACTGGTGAGGCTGAAGCACTGTCTGAATATAATATCCCACAATTCACAGCCCAGGATTACAATACCACAAAAGGAGAAAGTCACATCGCCTCCAGAACAACTCCCGAATGGAAACCAAACGCCGACTGGTCCGCTAATTATCCCAATTTGCTTCCCGCGGCTTGCCAGTGTTTTGGTTTAAGGAGTGACCGTGTTAATCAGTAAACAGCGGATTTCAGATGAATATGTTAACTGGTGACTTTTTTTGGGCTTGAAGGAGGTCGGAGGAGGGAGGGTGCAGGTGATTAGTACAAGCAGGTAGTGAGATTACACACTGTCCCACTGTACCCCTTACAAGGAAATGAGCAAAAACAACAAAAATGGTGATAACGTCGGGGAAAGTCTTTCACTGTGCCAGCCCTAGTGGGAGCATTTCATGTCTTTGCACTCTAGTCCCAAGTCATACACTTGTCCTAAACAAGTCACAATGCACTCTTCACCAAATGTGACGCTATAAACAACTGAATAAACAAAACAATTATCTTTGTTATCATTTTTTCCCTCAAGTGGCACTCTGTAATGCTGTCGGTTCAAACAAAGCGGATCTGGGGAATTAAGGGTCGACCTTTTGGGAATTAATAGTGTTAACGTTCAAATGAAGTGAAATTGATTTGTGGCACACTTTTTAAATAACATACTCTTTAATCTTTTAACTTTGGACTTGGCACTAGGTGAAGGTATCAAGAATTTAAAAAGGCTCAAGTGAAGAGCCCCGAGTCAAGCTGCAGGTCTAAAGTCTGACTCCAACACCTCTGCTATTGACACAGTGCATGATCAACAGTATCCTCTTCCTAGCCGAGCACCACACCACAGGTGCTCAGTAACTGTAGTAGTGTAACTGCTGCATAAACACATCCAGACAGCCTGCTAATGTTTTCCTGGGAAGAAAAAAAAAAAGTCTCAATGTCATTTCCACATGCTGAAACTTATAGTTTTATCATCAGTTCTTCTCTTGCCTTCGATGGGACTCCTTCAGAAACAGTGTTTACATTGGAGGCTGACAAAGCGATAACAACGCACAACGCTGGCGCTTTAACAGTCACAATGCTGCTGTAGTGTTTACATTACTATCACAAATACAACTGGGCGGTTGACCTTGAGGCCCTTTGTCTTAACCCCACAGGCGTTAGTTACGGCTAATGTTTACATGTCTACACAGAGTTAGTGATCCATGATATGTGCCTTAGGAGAAGAAAAGCATCAATGAGGGCCAGCCCGAGGCAGTCAAGACACAAGAATTCCACCTACAAGAGCTCAGCCTGCTGCAACATAGTTAGTATTTTCACTTTTTTTGTGAAAGATCTCACGTGCAAAAAGTTACTGATGTATAGCAGAAGAAATTTAATTTTGTCCAATCCAAATTTAGCCATGTGCAATACTATCTAAACCCTACAACTTTAGCCTCACAGTATTCTTGCCCCATTGTGCACTGCATACATGAGGTGTGGTAGTCGTTTTTATCTTTCAATCAGGCTGAAATTCAATGAGAGTTTGATCTGACTAATGCTGTTGCGTCCAGTAGTGGTGACAAAATTATCAGCATTTATCAAAAACCTTATCTTTACAAGACATGTTAAAGTTAATATTGACTGACGCATTCAGAATCACATGGTAAAAAGTTCAACTATTGTGTCTGACTGGAACTAAATCCTGCAGTCTCAAAAGATATGCATGCATGTAATCAGTAGCAGCCTATATGCTGCGGCAGATTAGGTAAAAACCACAAGTGAACCATCATCTGAGACTACTGTGTGATAATATTGAATCAACATCTGGCCTGGTTGAGTGACCTCATTATCCCCTCCAATAACCTCTGGCCCTGTTAGCCCAGATCTCTGAATGATCTAGGAAAGCTCTTGGGGAAAGGTCTGATCATTCTTAGTCATAGTTTTAGTAAACATCTTCACTTTGTTACCAGTTTTTGCTTGGCTGACTCTGACACAGACCAACCACATGCATTTTAGCCTAGTAAATACACAAGACAAGTCACACAGTTACACAGCCTAAAAACACAATTTGCCTCAGGGTGGGGGGTTTACAATCTGCACAGCGTACCACACCCTCTGCCCTTAGGCCCCTCATTTAGGGGGGAAGGAAAAAAACCTTACGTGTGGCCACAACACTCAGCAAAGTGTGTTTGAGGAACTAGACCCATTTTCCATATGATTTCCCAAGAGCTCTGAACACACTGTGAACCGTTAGAAACAGTTCTACCTTTTGGCCAGCAGGTTTGATTGTCTGTTTTGACCAACTGGAAAGAAACTGCCTCTGCTATAACCTCACAGCACTGTGTACTCTGACAGCTTATAGCCAACAGCAAAGGACGACCCGTCAACGTTTCCATTAGCCTTCAAAGTGCGGAGTAACAACAGCCACTGTACGGAGGAAGCCCTGCTGTCAATGGCCTCTTTGTCCGCAGCACAGGTGCATATTATGAGAAGCAGGGGGCAGATACAGGACGACCCCATCAACAGCCCCAATAACTGAGCTAATCTGTATGCAAACTGAACCGTCAGCCACACGTTTTCAAGGGATACACATTTTGGCACAACACCGGGCACGAGACCGGCCTCATTTGCTAAAGATGGAAAAAAAAAAAAGAGAAAAATGTATAGCAAAAAGTCTGTGTTTTCAGTCTACCTCTAAGATATTCATGTTATAAAGACAAACAACACATTAAAACCACCTGAAAGAAAATAACTTGAATACGACGAAGCGCAATAAACAGCGCGCGTGACCCCGACACCCCTACCACCAAAAAAAAAAAATAATAATATAAACACACCTGAAATTAACTTAAACCTCAACGGAGTCAACATTATGGCTGACTTGTGAGACAGTGTGAACGCGGGTTCGCATTAGGGCGGATACAAACCTGCAGAGAAACTGTCGAAACGCAGGATGATAATGTCGGCAGGCTCGTGTCAGAAGTTAGCACCGCTTCCTCTTCCTTTCCGCTTAAATCTTGTGTGTGACCCAACCCTTCACTAGAGCTGGAAGAAGGTGGAGTCATCTCCAAACTGCTGCTTTCAACCGGTCGCCTAATATGGACGTAATCAACTGACTGTATCAAATGCCCCACAATCCCCAAATCAGTGAGTGCAGCCTTACTTTGTTGCGGACTCAGCTTTATTATTTGACAACCGATGCAACTGATTGCACACCAATAAAAGCATCAGTTAGTTCCTCTGAAGGGAGTGCATCTATTTAAACTCTGGCATACAATGTTATACTCTCAGGGTCAACACTAATACGTTGTCCATTTTGTATTATCAGGGTTTATTATTTTACATTTACATTTATGAGACGGGTGACACACAAAAAGTCAAGGTCAAAGTCCAAGAATTATTTCCATTTTGAAGTTTGATAAAAAGACGAAGGGAATCCAAGGAATCACATAAGCATCAAAGAAATATATAAGTACCCAAACTATCCTACTTAAAATAATATCCCTATTTATAATATTTAAAGTCTTCACCTTTTACACTATAAGGAAACAAAAAAAACACCCTGTTATCATTCTCTTCTTTTCAGGCTTCAAATCAATGAATGACAGAATCCGATCCCCACTAAAGATAAGAGTCTGCTCGCACGTCTGTCAAACAACAGCAAGCATGTTTTACAAACACTACATAAACCATACCTGTGTTACGGTATGTGTCCGTTTATGTAACATGTTTTAAAATGTTAAAAAGGGATCTGGTGCTGGTTATTTAGCTCCACACTCGTAGCCTGTTGAAGTGAGCTGGACTGATACTCTAGTCCTGTGGATGATGCTGTCCTGATGATTGTCCTTCACCCATAATGATAACAGAGAGAATGGAGGACTTATATTGAGCCTGCAGCATAACGTGCTACAACGTGATGCTTGTGTGGCCATTAATCATCTACCTGTAGAGTGATAAACTGTCCAGCTGCTGCTTTTAGAGCTCTCTTTTACATTACCTGAGGGCCACAGGGAACCTTTAACACCAAAAAGGACAATTCCTCACCGTCAGTAATCTGTAACTATAGTTTAAGTAAAGATACCACATAGATTTTAACGCAGAAATGCACAAAAAATGTATCTTCATGGTAACCCAAACAAAGGTTGAATTGACAATAAAATGCTTGGTGGATGTCTGATGTTCTTATATTGGTAAAACATATACCTGATATACATATTTTAAAAGAATATATGTTTACTATAACTTAAACTGAGAACAGAAAGTGGCATCCCTTATTTACAGGTCAATAAACAGGTACACCACTTTCTCTAAACCATCAGGTACAACTGTGTCATTCAGCTTTGTAGTATTTGTGCTGCTAAATGAAAGCAAGCAACAGGCAGCATGGTTTGGGTGAGTAATGACACAGTGCTAGACTATGATGAGTGATCAAAGATGAAAAAATGCCTGACTGGTTCCACTTCCTCCTGTCACATTTGTGGGTGATGACAATAACACGGCTGCAAAACTAGAGCATAGGGCATGCAGCAGACCTAATCTTTCATACATTATCCATTGTTTCCTATGTCGTCACTGCTGGGAGTTTTTGAAAAATCGAATAGCTGTGTACATATGTCAGACACTATTTTCAGCTTGACCCTTATTTTGGTCTTTTTGGTTCAATCTCATGTAATTGTTTGTATGTAAAATACTTTTTTGTGGTGGTGGTCTCTACCTTTTAAATTCAACTAGACTCCTGCTAACATTACTTTAAAATTCTGTAGTGTAGTATTCCACTTATCTTTACGGACAAACCCCACTCAAATGAATAGTAGGACTGCCTGTTGTGGTCTGAATACAGCCTTGACTTTATCAATATTTTAAAGCAATAAACATATTCAATCAGCATTTAAACCCAATCTACCACCATAAAGGTCCAGAATGTTAGTTTAGTTTTATTCATGTAAATGATTGAGACTTCAATACCTACAAAAGAAAATCACCTGCTGGTCGAAAAGAGGGAACTCCTTTCACTGCTAACCCTGAGTATAGAAAGTGTCCTATAACATCACTCATAATAACAGTCATGGTGACCCCAAGTGGATATGTTGTATTACTGCAACATAGAACTGCCTTTGTCCATGTGAATTTGTATCTAAAGATCTCCTCCAGACATGTATTGTGATATGTACAAGTCTGCTTGAACCAATAATGCGACTAATGTGTTTTTACACAAAAAAGTATAATGTCCACATTAAAATCCTTAAAAGGACATCTACTCCTTCTACCTGGTAAACAATTCCAGAAGCTATGAATATACAAATTGTGTTTCCTGCTTCACTGTAAAGTCCATTCTTAGTGTATGTGCACTGGTGACTTCAGGGTTTTTCATCACACTTAAAAAGTGAAAGTAAAAGTTGCATACTGGTCAGGTATGACTTCCAAACTATTTGTGATTTCACAAATCATGCTGGTAGACCCCACCCCTTAAAGTCAGATTTTCAGTGAGCACAGAGAAACTTTCCACTTTCAGCAGATGATTCTAGTGTCAAACTCTGCACATCATTCATTAATATATTCAATAATAACGAGAGAAGGCAATTTGAATAGTTTAAGGTTTGTGAAAAGCAGATACTAAACTGAATAACTGGCTTTAATTTGTATTAAAAAGCATCTGAAGGGTTATGAATGATAGCTGGGAGCAAAACTTAATCAGTATCCAAAGGTATATCAAAATAATGACTTTGTGATACTAAGTCATTATTTGGAGATGTTAATTCAAAATATTGAGAAATGTTCTCATTATTTTGAGATACTAAGTCAATATTTTGAGAAGGTTTCTCATTATAATGACTTACAGAATCTCTTTTCCCCGTCACAGGCAGAAATATTCTTCCATATTATAGAGCACATTCAGCTGGAGCTGGTGTGTCCAATTTTAACTTAATCGGACTGCGAGGGGCGTAGACTTTCCAAAATTTCATTTTTGCAGCAAGCATAAACATTAGAACCTAAGACTTGATTTCATTCTGTAAATTAGATTTTATCTCATCCCTTGTCCTGCATTTTTATCATCACTGGAGGAAAGTATATCACAAAGAGTATAGACAGCTTCTTTTTGCAGGTTGGGTGCTATTATATAACAGAGAAACAGACACCCTCGTCATTTTAGTGGCACCCATTCACCGTCAAGACAAAGAGAACAGTCAGGGCAGCTATCATAAGAACATTAAGCCCCCAAGGGCAGTGGGTTCAGTCAAACATGCCTTTTTTGTTCATGATTTTGAATGCAGATTTTTTTTGTCGGTGTTTTGAAGAGCATTTTTTGGAGAGTAGCACTTTCTCTATTTAAGGGTAAGCTCTGAGTTCAACGACAATATCTTAAAAAGGCCAAGAATTTAAATGATATGTTATTGAGACTTTACATGGACTGCCAAACATCCAGAAATGTTTGTGGGATCATTCTGCTCCCTCTGTCCTATATGTGGCTGAAGAGGACGGGTTGTTTTCTCAGGACCTTTACCAGAGGGCTGGGCTTTGGTGGGACAAAGTGGGCTGACTGCTCTGCCTACAGGATGAGAGGAGAGAAAAAATAATGGAAAAGAGGGAGGGCTGAGTCGGGGTTTGGAAAGGCCTTTTCCAGCCCTTCTACTCTTTCAATTTATAGGTCCTCCAGACACACACCCACATAGACAGCAGAGCCCAGTAGACAAAGTCAGGAAGTGACATCATCCACAGGAAGAGAAGCCAAACAACTTTTTCTCTCTTTTCTGTGTTGTCTGTGCTGCTTAGTGAAGTCTTGGTCTGTTAGTGGCCGACAGAGAGGGAGAGGATCCAGAGGAGATAGAGGAGGGCAGACCAACTGTCCTCCACAGGGAGTTTAAAGTCAAAACGTCTGGTGCTCGAAATCCTCCCTGAACTTCCCACGACTTTCCAACACATTCCAGACCCTCCGCTGCAGGATTTCAGCCAGGTACAGTGCAGACAGCTTTTTTTTCCCATTCTGTAATCTCTTGTTTTGATCTCACTCGGACTCTTCCTTTGTTTCTGGTTACTGCGACTTGCAGTGCTGTCTTTTTTTTCTTTCTCATGTATGGGTCTGGTCTTGAGAGGACTTTTGCAGGTCTGCAGAGCCAGAGGCAAATTCCATAACAACCGTGAAAGTATGCCAACAGTGCGTGATCAGACATGCTTCATTCAAGGCTGTTGAGGCATGCAGTGAGACGTAAAGTGAAAAAATAAAGCCAGTCCACGCTGTCAATTTCTGTCCAAGTCATTACTGTCTTCAGTAAATAAGAGTGTCCAGGTTAATGTGTGGCTGAAACTATGTCTCCCTGAACTGAGCATTGAATGAAACGCTGTAAGCCTTCCTCTGTAGCTCTTTTGTTATGGACACATTCAGAGCTCATCTCATGACCACGTATTCATGGTTCCCCAGTGGTGAGTTTTGAAATGAGATCAGGCAGACTGTGAGTACTAGTGGAAAGGAAAAGTACCCTTCTCATATATCAAATGCTGTTAAATCACCACTGTTTTCTCAAATTTTGAACAGAACCCTGCAAAAATAGGCAGTCATGTGAGAAGTCTGTGGAAATGAGGTATTCAGTCAACAAAAGTTCACAACAAACACCCAGTATCAGTGATTGGTCTATAAAGTGTGAACATATGATAAAGGCAGAGGCAGAAACTTCTGCTAATTTAAGTCACACGGAAACAACCACAGGAAACGTCAAGACCGGCAGCTCAAAAAGGGACACAAATGCGGATATAGTGTCATGTTGCAACCACGGTCACTTGAATATGACTGTGTCAAATCTGTGGAAGCGACATATGCTACAGTCTTCCAAAGTACTGAACGGAAACACACATCTCAGCAGAGTGTAACACACAATCAAGTGTAACCCTTTCAATATGTGATGTACCTAAACTTTATTTCTAATAAACTGCCCACCTTGTTTTCCTATAATTACCTACTCAGTTAATATTCAAATGCTAATTCATTTATGTTTTATTATTATAACCAATCAGCGAGGTCATGCTCCTGATCAGTGTGTATTATCTGCCAGATGGTTAATAGCTATCAGGGGAAAACCATCATCTGTCAATAATGTACTGGTTGTGTTTCATATCCCTAGACTCATTTCCCAGAAGGGGAACTGACAGTCTATGGGTTTCATCATTTTTCATGTTCAGTATTTTTACACCAAACTGAGTGGTGATGAGAGTCATAATGCTGTATCTGAGCAAAGTGAGCGCTGTACTGTGGACATTTTCTCTCACAACACTCTCTAGAATTCAATGTTTAGTGAGTCGCAGCATGCCATTCATTTTCTCAATTATGCTTGCCTCTAGTGGCCTGAACTGTACCACAACCAACTGAAACTGTTGCTATTTATATCAGTGGGTGCTACTGGATGTCTTGTGATAAGGTCATTGGGTCCCACAGAGCAGTGGAGGCAGTAATGACACATTGGGGATGAACTCACTGGTTTGTCTATAGTTGAAGGAAACATGTAGAGTTTTCTGTGCAGTGTGTACATTTTAATGATCCAGTTTTTGAAAATGTTTGAGTTGTGAAATTTGATGTCATGCTTCTCTACTTTGGGTTGTTTTTTCCCTTTGTAAATGATCTGACAATGATATGTATGGTTTTGTAGTTATAACTTAGATTTCTTTGGTCATATGCAATTTTTGGTCATTCTGGCCTAAAGCAGTGGATTGACAGGAAAGGAATAACCCTAACCCTCTAACTCCTCTTGTTGTTCTGCTTCACAGAAGAGTCCCGCCATTTGAAAACAAGAGCTCCCTGCAATCTTGACACGACAGACGGTGACCTCCTGTGACCTGACTTCCGAGCTGAAACCATCCTGGTTCTGTCTCTCAGGAAGGTCACGCTTTATCCAACGAAAAACTAATTATTATTCTGGAGAGCTTATTCTCCCCTTATCTCAGGGGAAACGACTGAGTCGATGGCGTTGTGTCTTGGACAAGTGTTCAGCAAAGACAAAACATTCAGGCCAAGGAAGCGGTTTGAACCGGGCACCCAGCGCTTTGAACTTTACAAGAAGGCCCAGGCCTCGCTCAAGTCTGGCTTGGACTTGAGGAAAGTGGTTCAGCTGCCAGAGGGGGAAAACATCAGCGATTGGATTGCTGTTCATGTGGTGGATTTCTTCAACAGGATCAACTTAATCTATGGCACGATGAGCGAGTTCTGCACAGAGCGCACGTGTCCCATCATGTCGGGAGGGCTGAGGTACGAGTACAGGTGGCAGGATGGTGAAGACTACAAGAAACCCACCAAGCTGCCCGCTCTCAAGTACATGAACCTGCTGATGGACTGGATAGAGTCGCTCATCAATAATGAAGACATCTTCCCCACCAGAGTAGGTGTGTGAGGAGTCTACAAATGAAGTCGTCAGACTATTATTGAGTGTGTAACCTAATACATGAGTGATTGCTTTCTGCACTGATGTTGTGCTTTATCAATGCCGAAGTGTCAGCCTTGAGTGCAGGGCTGTTCCCGTTCATTAATATCTCAAATGAGATTATAAAGTTCAAGCAGAGGTTAATTAAACAATAGGGCTGACATTTAGAGGAGATTGACTGTGTTGCTATTTTATCTCAGCACCAGACAATCAACATTTATCAGAGGTGCATGCATAATGCAGGGGTGGGCTAAGGGTGGTTAAGCAGTTAGCAGTGAAACCAGAATGGTTCTGTGTTTGAACCATTGACAGTATGGTTTGAACCAGTCAGGGGCCTTTCGTGTGGATTTTTTATTATTTTCTTCTGCAGTCCACAAACATGCAGGTGAATTTCCCATAGGCATAAATGGGTTTTTGTCTATTTGCTAGAGATTGATAATTTGTCCCTATCTTGCACTTAATGTTTGCACAAATCTCCTTGGCCCTGAGCCGGACTATAAGGCCATACATTGATGTATATAGTGATAATAAGACTTGGAACAATGTGCTCTAGTACAGTGGTTCCCAAACTCATCTGTCTGGGGTTTCCACACAGTCCTCTCAGAAGGGCTCATTAATGTGACCCCGTTCAATAGATGGGATAGCTTCAAGGAATTGTTTGATTCCTTACTGCTGAGAAAACACAGTGGCTTTGGTGGCTTCTTGACACATTATCCATTTAAGACATAGTGATCCTGCAACTGGCGATAGATCTAGTCAGTTTTACGTATGTCATATACTGACTAAAAGCGTAAATGTGAGAGGTTTTCAGCCATTTAACTCAAACTTGTAGCTATGAATTTGGACTTTTCTGGACTTTGCCTCAGTTATTGGTTATTGTGACATTAAATATACGAAAGATCTGGCACACACAAATTAGTAATCCTAATTGAGTCTTCCTCCTTAACACAAATAACTAGATAATATTTTTTTATCTTTTTTTTTTAAATCATAATTTTTCTCCTACACAGTAACAGCTTCTTAAGAAGAAGTAAAATTATTATTTTACTGGTCCTAACCTTTTCCTTTCATGTCCCCTTTTATCAACCCAAGATCTGAAAGGAGGTTGTTCTTGGAATTACTTCTCATCACTGACCTACATTCTCCATGCAAATCAAATTTCATTCAAACACTGACTGCGACTCAAAGATTGATGCTGTTGAGGAGAAACCATATTACTTCAAGAATATTAAATCTGCTAAATGATGGGTTTCAGTTATGTAAAAGGATGTCATTTTTGTCTCTCTTTATGAAGTGTAAGTCTCTTAATTTCTCTAACACTTTTCTCCTTTCTTCATACTAGGTGTACCTTTCCCCAAAAACTTCCAGCAGGTGTGCAAGAAGATCCTGAGCCGTCTCTTCAGGGTGTTTGTGCATGTTTACATCCATCACTTTGACAGCATCTGCAGCATGGGTGCAGAGGCCCACATCAACACCTGCTACAAGCACTACTACTACTTCATATCAGAGTTCAACCTCATTGACCACTCTGAACTGGAACCCCTGGTGAGACAATAGAGTGACTTCAGATGTGTGAGGGTGACAGGGAGAAGGAGAAAGAGGATCAGATGTTACGTATTGGGAGTGTTGTCAGTATCACTCTCATAACCATCAGTATAGCAGAAAATATCACCCACGCTGCCATCTGTAACCTTGTTGTGCAGTATGCTGGGTGAGGTTGAGTTCTAGCTTCATGTTTTCCCAGCTAGTACACATGCAGCACAAATTAAATATCAGCCATTTGTGTCTACTGAAGCCACACAGACTACGTGATTACTCAGCTTTACTGTGGGCATAAAACACATTAACTGTGTTCTCCTGAAGATAATAACATTTTTCCATTTGACACTAGGAATGGAATCAGCATTCACTTTCCCCACCAATTTTCCGTCATGAAAGAAACTTGTTAACTGCTTTATAGAAAATGGTTTGGTTTGAAGCAACCCAGCCCTCATAAGAGAAGTTGCTGATTTCGTGCAATCATGTAAAGAGGCAGAGTTTGTATAGATGTTGATTTTTTCCAACAAAGGGACCTCCATCACATATAAGCAGATGCAGAACAGTGCTCCAAGTGTCAATAAAAGGATTCAGTTATTATTATTATTAAGCCCAGAGGCTGTAATTCCCCTTACAAAGTGAAACTGGGCTGAGGCATTTATGTCAACATAACACAGAAAAGATACATCTAACAGACCCTGTTTTATTGCCCCACCTTTAGTACCCGAGGCAATTCTTTTTGTTGCTGGTCTCATAAGAACAACATTTAATGTTCTACATATTTTAACGATCGCACTTCGTAACAATCATTTATTCCACATACGATATGATTTTGATGTGTTAAACATGTCCTTTGTTTTCTTTTCCTACAGAAAGAGATGACAGAGAAGATATGCAATTAAACAAAACCACATGGACAAAGGAGTTTACATTTTGACGATAACTGAGCCCCGTGAGAAATCGACGGCTTCAAAACACTCAGAACAAAGAACAATTTTACATAAAGTTGTATGAGTGGTTCTCTAAGCATAACTGGGAAGGTCTACTAATTTACCACACTTCTTCAGATGGTGGCACTGTGCCTTCACAGAGGTTTTTACTTTCAATAATTATGGTGCTTGATGCCATATTATAGGACTTTGTGTTTGTGTATAATACACTCCTGTACTCATGTGCTTTTTCTTTCCTCCTGTGCATGTATGTTTATGTTTGACCTTTTTATATACCATTGAGTGCTATTTTGTTGAACTGAAGTTTGTTTTTTAATTTGATGTCAGTGTTTTTATAGTTTGAATATAAAAAAGCAGCCTCGAAATGATCAGTGTTTTTTTAAGTTTTGTACTGCAACACAAAAATATGTACTTGGGTCATGACTTTTTTGTTTTGATTATCAAAGTAAACACTTTGAAAACAGCATATTAACAAGACGAATACCACCCAAAGACAAATTTCACCAGACAAAAGTAGTGTTCTAATAATCTAAACACGTATAATGATGAAGTGTAGTGGATATGTGGCATTAGCCGTACTTCCTCTCGACAGTGCTGACCTGCCAAACCTCTGAAATGCATGTAAATAAACGTCACCATCATGCACAAAAAATCCCCACTACGTGGAGTGAGGTGTGGCGGGGAGTCGAGCCAAGTGACGTAGCAGCGGTAGCCGTGTTCTCGACCAATGGGAGGAGGCGGTATGCACAAGTGGGCGGGGCCAACGTCTGTTTATGCGTTTTCCCGCCCTGCGCGTCACCAGCTTTCTCTGACTGATGGATCTCAGCTAGCAATGGACGCTTACATCAGCTGTCAGAGGCTTTGACAGAGGGGATTTGGCTGGTTTGGGACACAGAGAGTCCAGGTTAGGAGTGTTTATTGCATTTATATTAATATGTATATGTTTTAACGGCACCGTTCGCTACAAACTGGTGAATGGACGTTAATCGGGACGACGAGCTAGCTAAGGGTTGTTGCTAGCCAGCTGGTGCTAGCGACATTAACATTACGTCGGGTTTTACAATCAGCAGTCAACGCTTTTCTAAAGTTCTGCTTATTCCTGTAGACATTGTTCCCTCTTGGTAAAGGTGCCCAGGTTTGTGTAGCAACGGTGCTAATGGTAAGCAACGACGTGGCACTGGCAGTCGGTGAACTCTTGCTAACTTAACTAGCGAGTTTCATAACAACAATAACAACAGCAAGCTGAATGTGAAGCATCACTTTCAGCGGGTGTAACGCTAGCTTATATATTACCATAACAGACTGGACCTCTGCTACTCTGTCACTTAAACAAACACTGGAGAGTAAAAGGAGGGAACTATTTCTGGTACACGTCAAATTAAAACAGTGTGATTTGAAGGACTTGTGTTTTTGACTATTTCCACCACTTTGAATTGACTGGTTCTCGACTATATTTGTGCGTTTGCTGCTGCAGTTTGTTCCAGACTAACTAACTCAATATTTGTGTTGTGCCCTCAGTTGGCAGATATGGTGAGGCACAGCGTGATGACAGAGCTGCAAGCCTTCCAGCACTCTTTCCAGGTAGGATGTGAACTGTTCACAATACTGTGGGACTTCCTGAAACATGATATGCTTGATAAGATCAAGTTGCTGGAAAGTAGTCCAGCGACTGTCAAGGTTATCTGCACAGAAATGTAGAAGTTTCATCAGTCTCCATGAGTCATGCACTGTGACTGATTGTGTAAATGTCTCTGGTAATATCCAGGGTGACATAAGGCCTTGGGGGTGTTTCCCGTAGTCTCATCAGGTCACTGTTCTGGCAGGTTGCAAGATAATCAGGAAGCTTGTGTATATATTGTTATATGTCCGTATAATTACAGTCGGTCATTTTTTGTAAAGGAAAGTTTTATGAACTATATGTGTTAGTGTAAAGAGATGGTTAAATAAGTGGAAGTTAGGAGGAAATGTCTTTTTTTTTTCACCATTTAACACTTAAAATAAAGTGGGAGAATCATATACTCCTTCATGTCCTTTCTCTACTGTACACCACCTGATCTTTCTGGCTACTCTCGTATTTTCCCTCCCTCTCTCCCCTCCCATGTGGCCCTTCTCTCTATTACAGGGTAACTCCCTGGCTGTGGGCCAAGTGGGGCAGAGCTGCAGGGGAACTGAGGAGAACGGTGTTGCTTCAGAGGACAGACAGCACCTTTCCCAAGGCCCAGCAGGTACAACGGCTGTATTATTCAGAATAGCTCCGGGGCTACTGAATCTTATGGTGCGCACAGGGACGCACGGGCGGAGTCTGTACTGTTTAACTAATGTGCTTGCATATGGATTCTTCTGTGTTGCTACAGAAATAGAGAAAAGCCAGCCAGTGAACATCCCAGATGCAGCTAAAAGAAAGAAGAAGAAAAGAACGAGAGCAACGGACAGCTCCACAGGCACTTTTGATGGTAATAAAGCTGATATTATTGTGAGACATATTGTACGGTATGTGGGGAAAATCAAAAGATAACACAAACACAAACTGCGGTCTCATATGTCAATTTTTTTTCAGATCTCTACAAATTGACAGACGAGGTGCTGGGTCAGGGGGCTTATGCTAAAGTTCAAGGATGCATAAGTCTGCAGAATGGACAGGAGTTTGCTGTGAAGGTGAGTACGGATGTTTTGTTGGCAACACCCTATAAAATGCAGTAAAGTAAGATTTGAAGAAGATTTAAAATGATTGAGGAAATGCTTGTGTGTGTGTGTGTATATATATAATATATATGTGTGTGTATATATATATATATATATGTGTGTGTGTGTGTATATATAAAAACTTCCCTCTCACCCTCTTGGGGTGGTATCTGTGTCATCCTCAAGCTCGGGTCCTCTACCAGAGGCCTGGGAGTTTGAGGGTTCTGCGCAGTATCTTTTGTGTAATGTATGCGGTAGGGAGTTCAAGTGAGCTCAACCAACCTACAAAAAATGTTCTATTCTTTTCACTTCTGTACTATTGTCTACTGTCTACAAATGTTATTGTTTATACATACACCACACACACACACACACATATATTATATATATACACACACACACAGCACAAGCATTTCCTCAGATCATTTTAAATTTCTTCAAATCTTACTTTACTGCCATTTTATAGGGGTGCTTGCCACAAAACTATCCGTACTCACCTTCACAGCAAACTCCTGTCCATTCGCAGACTTATGGCATCCTTAACTTTAGGCATAAGCCCCCTGACCCAGCACCTCGGTTCTGTCAATTTGGTAGGAGATCTTGGGAAAAAAAATGGAATATGAGACCGCAGTTTTGTTTTGTGTATCTTTTTTGATTTTCCCGCCCACATACCGTACAATATGGTCTCACAATAATATCAGCTTTGATTACCATCAAAAGTGCCGCTGTTGGGAGCGGGTTCCGTTGCGTCTCGTCTTTCGTTCTTTTCTTTCTTTAGGCGTGCAATCTTGGGATGTTCACTGGCTGCTTTTTCTCTATTTCGTAGGCAACACCAGAGGAATCCAGCTATGCAAGGCACATTAGTTATAAACAGTACAGGGACTCCGCCCCGGTGCCGTCCCTGTGCGCGACCATAAGATTCAGTAGCCCCGCGGGAGCTATTCTTGAATAATACAGCCGTCTGTACCTGCTGGGCCTTGGCGAAATTGCTGCTGTCTGTCCTCTGAAGCAACACCGTTCTCCTCAGTTCCCCTGCAGCTCTTGCCACCCCACTTGGCCCACAGCCAGGGGAGTTACCTGTAATAGAGAGAAGGGGCCACAGTTGGGGAGGGGAGAGAGGGAGGGAAAATACCGGAGAGTAGCCAGAAAGATCAGGTTGGTGTACAGTAGGAAAAGACAATGGAAGGAGTATATTGGAATTCTCCCACTTTATTTTAAGTGTTAAATGGTGGAAAAAAAAAAAAGACATTTTCCTCCTAACTCCACTTATTTAACATCTCGTTTACACTAACACATATAGTTCATAAACACTTTCCTTTACAAAAAAATGACCAAAACTGTAATTATAACGGGTCATATAACAATATATACACAATTCTTCCTGATTTATCTTGGCCACCTGCCAGAAACAGCTGACCTTGGATGAGACTACGGAAACACCCCCCAAGGCTTATGCTCACCCTGGGATATTACCAGAGGACATTTTACACAATCAGTCACAGTGCATGACTCATTGCGGAGACTTGATGAAAACTTCTACATTTCTGCTGCAGATAACCTTTGACAGTCGCTGGACTTACTTCCAGACTTGATTGCTTATCAAGCAATCAGTGTTTCAGCGAGTCCCACAGTATTTGTGAAACAGCTTTCACATCCATACCTGGAAAAGAGTGCTGGAAGCTTTGCAGCTCTGCATCCGCTGTGCCTCACCATATCTGCCAACTGGGAGCGGCCACAGAACACAAATATTGAGTTTAGTTAGTCCTGCGCAACAAACTGCAAGCAGCAAAACGCACAAATATAGTCGAGAACCAGTTCAATTCAAGATGTGGTGGAAATAGTCAAAAAACACAAGTCCTTAAATCACAACTGTTTTAATTTGACGTTGTACCAGAAATTAGTTCCCTTCCTTTTACCTCTCCAGTGTTTGTTTTAAGGTGACAGAGTAGCAGGGACGTCCAGTCTGTTATGCGTAAATATATAAGCTAGCGTTCACACCCGCTGAAAGTGATGGCCTTCACATTCAGCTTGGCTGTTGTCATGGTTGTTATGAAAAACTCGCTAGTTAAGTTAGCAAGGGAGTTCACCGACTGGCCAGTGCCACGTCGTTGCCTTTACCATTAGCACCGTTTGCCTGACACAAAACCTTGGGGCACCTGTTACCAAGGAGGGAACAATTCTGACAGGAATAAGCAGAACTTTAGAAAAGCGGTTTGATGCTGATTGGTAAACACCCGACGTAATGTTCAATGTCGCTTAGCCACCAGCTGGGCTAGCAACAATCCCTCTAGCTAGCTCGTCGTCACCGGGAATTAACGTCCAATTCACCAGTTTTGGTTACACGCGGAACGGCTGCCGTTAATATGAAACATAATACCATATTAATATTAAATGCCAATAACACTCGCGTAACCTGGACTCTCTGGGTGTTCCCAAACCAGCCAAATCCCCTCTGTCAAAGCCTCTGACAGCTGCATTAAGCCGTCCACTTTTCCCTAGCTGGAGCATCCATCAGTCAAGGAGAAAAGCTGGTGACGCGGCAGGGCGGGGGAAAACGCAATAAACAGCACGTTGGGGGCCCCCGCCACTTGTGCATACCGCCTCCTCCCACTTCGGGTCGAGAACACGGCCTACCGCTTGCTACGTCACTGGCTCGACTCCCCCCCGCCACACCCTCACTCCACGTAGTGGGCATGTTTTTGTGCATTTGATTTGGGGTGGACGTTTATGGTTACATGCATTTCAGAGGGGTTTGGCAGGTCAGCACTGCCGAGATTGAAGTACGGGCTAATGGCCACATTATCCAACTACACTTCATCGATTATACGTGGCTTTAGATTATTAGAACCACTACTTTTGTCTGGTGAAATTTGTCTGTTGGGGTGGTATTCGTCTTGTTAATATGCTGTTTTCAAAGTGGTTTACTTTGATAATCAAAACAAAAAGAGTCATACCCACAGTGACATATTTTTGTGTCTGCAGCTACAAAAACTTAAAAAAACACTGATCATTTCGGAGGCTGCTTTTTTAGTATTCAAACTATAAGAAACACTGACATCAAATTAAAAAACAAACTTCAGTTCAACAAAATTAGCACGTCAGATTGCGTATATAAAAAGGTCAAAACATAAAACATACATGCCACAGGAGGAAAGCAAAAGCACATTGAGGGGTAACAGGAGTGTATTATACACAAACACAAAAGTCCTATAATAATGGCATCAACGCAACCCATAATGTATTTGGAAAGTAAAAACCTTCTGTGAAAGGCACCAGTGCCACCATCTGAAGCAAGTCGTTTTGCGTAAATTAGGTTAGGACCTTTCCCCAGTTTATGCTTAGGAGAAACCACTTCCATACAACGTTTATGCTAAAAATTGTTCTTTGTTCGAGTGTTTTTGAAGCCGGTCGATTTCTGCACGGGGGCTCAGGCTTAATTCGCTTCAAAGATGTAAACGTCCTTCTGTGTCCATGTGGTTTTTGTTTAATTGCATATCTTCTCTGTCATCTCTTTTGTAGGGAAAAAGAAAACAAATGACATGTGGTTTAACACATCAAATCATATCGTATGTGGAATAAATGATTGTAACGAAGTTTCGATCGTTAAAATATGTAGAACATTAAATGTTGCTTCTTATGAGGACCAGCAACAAAAAGAATTTGCCTCGGGGTACTTAAAGCGGTTGGGCCAATAAAACAGGGTCTCGGTTAGATGGTATCTTTTCTGTGTTCATGTTGACGATAAATGCCCCTCATGCCCAGTTTTCACTTCTGTAAGGGGAATTACAGCCTCTGCGGGCTTAATAATAATAACTAACCTGAAATCCTTTTATGACACTTGGAGCACTGCTTCTGCATCTGCTTATATGTGGCATGGAGGTTCCCTTTGTTGCGAACAAAAATCAACATCTATACAAACTCTGCCTCTTTACATGATTGCACGAAATCAGCAACTTCTCTTATGAAGGGCTGGGTTGCTTCAAACCAAACCATTTTCATATTAAAGCAGTTAAACAAGTTTCTTTCATGACGGAAAAAATTGGGGGTGGGGGAAAAGGTGAATGCTGATTCCATTTCTAGTGTCCAAATGGGGAAAAATGTTATTATCTTCAAGGAAGAACACAGGTTAATGTGTTTTATGCCACAGGTTAAAGGGCTGGAGTAATCACGTACGTCTGTGTGGACTTCAGTAGACACAAATGGCTGCATATTTAATTTGGTGCTGCCATGTGTACTAGCTGGGAAAAACATGAAAGCTAGGAACTCAACTCACCCAGCATACTTGCACAACAAGGTTACAGGATGCAGCGTGGGTTGATATTTCTCTGCTGATACTGATGGGTTATGAGGAGTGCATATCTGACACACCACTCCCAATACGTAACATCTGATCCTCTTTCTTCCTTCTCCCTGTCACCCCTGCACACATCTGAAGTACACTCTATTGTCTCACCAGGGCGTTCAGTTCAGAGTGGTCAAATGAGGTTGTTCGAAACTCTGGATTATGAAGTAGTATATGCCTTTGTAGCAGGGTGTTTTTGATGTGGGCCTTCTGCCCATCCCATGCTGCAGATGCTGTCCAAAGCTGTAATGGAGGTAAACATGCACAAAACACCCTGGAAGAGGACGGGCTCAGGATCTTCTTTCCACACCTGCTTGAAGTTTTTTGGGGAAAGGTACACCTAGTATGAATAAAGTGGGGAGAAAAGTGGGTTTTTTAGAGAAATTAAGGAGATTTTACACTTCATAAAGAGGAGACAAAAATGACATCCTTTTACATAATCTGAAACCATCATTTAGAGATTTATTATTCTTGAATCGTTAATTATGGTTTCTCCTCAACAGCCATCAATCTTTGAGTCGCCAGTCAGGTGTTTGGAATGAAATTTGATTGCATGGAGAATTAGCGTCAGTGGATGGCAGAAGTAATTCCCAAGAATCAACCTTCCTTTCAGATCTTGGGGTTGATAAAAGGACATGAAAGGCAAAAGGTTTAAGGACCAGTAAAATAATAATTCTTACTTCTTCTTATAGAAGCTTGCTTTACTGTGTTAGGGAAAAATTATGATTTAAAAAAAAAGATAAAAAAATATTATCTATGTTATTTGTGTTAAGGAGGCAAGGAGCTCAATTAGGATTACTAATTTTGTGTGGGTGCCAGATTCTTTTCTTATAGTTTAATGTCCAATAACCATATAACTGGAGGCCAAAAGTCCGAGAAAAAGTCAAACCTTCATAGCTACAATTTTGAGTTAAATGGGGCCTAAAACCTCTCACATTTTACGGCTTTTAGTCGAGTATATGACATACGTTAAAAACTGACTAGGCATCCTATGCCAAGTGCCAGGATCACTATGTTCTTAAATGATAATGTGTCAAAAGCCACAATAGGCCCACTGTGTTTTCTCAGTTCAGTAAGGAATCAAACGAATTCCCGTTGAAGACTATTCCCATCTACCTTAACGGGGGTCAGCATTAATGGAGCCATTCTGAGGAGGACTGTGTGGAAACCCCAGAGCAGATGAGTTTGGGGAACCCACTGTACTAGGGGAGCACATTGTTTTCCAAGTCTTATTTATGGGTGTATATTACAATCATGTATGGGCCCTTATCAGTCCGCGCTCAGGGCAAGAGATTTGTGCAAACAGTCTAAGTGCAAGATAGGGGACAAATTATCAATCTCTAGGCAATATGTGTGTACTCTATATTTTATATATTTTTCTCCACTCGGGGCGCCCTATGGAAAAATTCACCTGCATGCTTTGGTGGGGACTGCAGGAAGAAAAATAATAAAAAATCCACACGAAAGTGACTTCTCGCGTTCAAACCATACTGTCAATGGTTCAAACACAGAACCATTCTCGGTTCACTGCTAAACTGCTTACAACACCCTTAGCCCCACCCCTGCATTATGCATGCACTTCTGATAAATCGTTGATTGCTCTTGGTGCTGAGATAAAATAGCACACAGTCAATCTGCCTCTAATTGGTCAGCCCTTATTGGTTTTAATTAAACCTTCTGGCTGAACTTTATAATCTCATTTGAGATATTAAATGAACCGGGAACAGCCCTCGCACTCAAGGCCGTCTGACACTTCGGCATTGATAAGCCCACAACATCAGTTGCAGGGAAAGCAAGTCACTCACTTATTAGGTTACCACACTCAATAATAGGTCTGACGACTTCATTTGGGTAGACTCCATCACACACCTGACCTTCTGTGGGGGAAGATGGTCTTCATTATTGGATTGGAGGCCGACTCTATCCAGTCCATCAGCAGGTTCATGCTACTTGCAGAGCGCGGCAGCTTTTGGGTTTCTTGTAGTCTTTCACCATCCTGCCACTGTACTCGTACCTCAGCCCTCCCGACATGGATGGGACCGTGCGCCTCTTGTGCAGAACTCGCCTCATCGTGCCATAGATTAAGTTTGATCCTGATTGAAGAAATTCAGCCACATGAACAGCACATCCAATCGGGTGGATGTTTTCCCCCTCTGGCAGCTGAGACACTTTCTCAAGGTCCAAGCCAGACTTGGAGCGCAGGCCTGGGCCTTCTTGTAAAAGTTCAAAGCGGCTGGGGTGGGCGCCGGTTCAAACCGCATTCTTGGCCTGAATGTTTGTCTTGCTGAACACTCTGGTTCCAAAAGACACAACGCCAGTTCACTTCAGTCGTTTCCCGCTGAGATAAGGGGAGGAATAAGCTCATCCAGAATAATAATTAGTTTTTCGTTGGGGGATAAAGCGTGCACCTTCCTGGCAGAGACAGAACCAGGATGGTTTTCAAGCGTCGGAAGTCAGGTCACAGAAGGTCACCGTCTGTCGCTGTCAAGATTGCAGGGAGCTCTTGTTTTCAGAATGCTGCGGGAGGACTCTTCTGTGAAGCACAACAACAGAGGAGTGGCGGGTGGGGGGGGGTGGTTAGAGGGGTTAGGGCGTTATTCCTTTCCTGTCAGATCCACCTGCTTTTTAGGCCACGAATGACCAAATTGCATATGACCAAACGAAATCTACAGTTATAACTACAAAACCCTACATTTTCACTTGGTCAGATCCATTTGTACAAAGGGAAAAAACAACAACCCAAAGTAGAGAAGCCATAACATCAAATTTCACAACTCGAAACCATTTTTCAAAAACTGGCGGGATCATTAAAACTGCTACACACTGCACAGAAAACCTCTACATGTTTCCTTCAACTATAGACCAACCAGTGAGTTCATCCCCCAATGTGTCATTACTGCCTCCACTGCTCTGGTGGCGGACCCAATGGACCTATATCACAAGACATCCAGTAGCACCCACTGGATATAAATTAGCACAGTTTCCAGTTTGCGCTTGGTGTACAGTTCAGGCCACTAGAGCGCAAGCATAATTGGAGAAAATGAATGGGCATGCCTGCGAACTCACTAAAATTGAATTCGTAGGAAGGTGTTGGTGAGAGAAAATGTCCAGCAGTACAGCCGCCTCACTTTGCTCAGATACAGCAGCATGTATGACCTCTCATCACCACTCAGTTTGGTGTAAAAATAGCTGAACATGAAAAATGGATGAAACCGCAGTAGAACTGGTCAGTTCCCTTTCCTGGGAAATGAGTCGTTTAGGATTGACTGGAACACAACCATACATAGACGTAGAT